GTCCTGTACAAAACACACAAACATAACTACCAGATTGTTACACTTACATGTACATGTAGCTTAAACAAAGATAAAGCTGCACTTGGGCCAAACTGGCCCACACTGTCGGAGCTTTTTCTGTAGCTGATCCAAGAATGCTAGTCCAACATAAGCGGCACATTTTATGAACTAAATGTTATGGTTCTACTATTGGTAGTTACGTAGAAAAGTAGTTAGAGGCAATCATTATTTTTTTGTCCAATTAGAGCATAGTAGCGTATAAACCGTTGGTGGTCTGGTAACGAGAAAGAGCAAGGTGCATAATTTTGGTAGCCTATACACTGTAATCCAATATGGCGGACAAACCGCAGTGGAGTTGGGATGGGACACGAAAATGAGGCTAGTTACATGTAGGCATGTTGTGGCAGCATTTTGAAAAATTGTCGTTGAAAATACGATGTCTTCGAGCTGCTGTGTGCCCTTTTGTACGGTAAGAGGATCTCGAACAAACAGTGGCAAAAAAATTCCAAATGCCGCCACAACATGCCTAACTAGCCTTGTTTTCATGTCCCGTCCAAACTCTTCGCACATGCATCCACCATATTGGAATACCATGTATGAGCAGTCCCGCTTTCCCTTAGTCCATCGAGCGAGAAGCGAAATAGCCACAGCAGCATCTCCCACTTGCACTTACAGTGGAACCTTGATATAACGATGTGCCAATGGACTGACCAAATTAGATCGTTATATCGGGAGATCGTAATAACGATCTTTCGGGAAAAGAGCCAAAAATATTGTTATATCGGGGTATTGTTAAAGTGTATATGACAGATATTTTTTTATTTGCTTGATCGAATCTACATAGACATGAAATTTCACTTCCGGTTAGGTAAAAAACCGAGCGAAGTGGAGTCCTGGACCTAGTCGGTTGTGACGTCAATACCAGAACGCTCTTCGACAACCAAGCAAAGATTTAGGGCTTATAGTGTGTATAACCAGATATATTTTAGTTCAAATTTTGTCTAGAACCGTCAAAACTTACACAAAGTTATGTATACTGACGATTTTGAGTTTGGGAGCGATTCTGAGCAATCAGAATCGCTCCCAAACTCAGAATTCAGTGTTTCTTCGACTGTTGATGAACTGAGTGGAGTGCGATGAAGCAGAGTTTATTATTTAGAACAGTTTTAGAAGCAGCAGCAGACAACTGAGACCCAGAAGGTCCTTACATGAACCATACGATGAGTGGCTTCAAGAGTACATGTATACCGCTAGCAGATAGCGACAGCGATATAATTTCTCATTCTGAAAGAACGTGAATAGCCCGGACATGCTGGAAATGCGTGTCGCCGTAAAATAAAATTGTTCGTTTACACAATTGCACTGTTTGAATCGAATGAGTTGAACCGATTTGTAATAAGCTTTTTAAAATTTGCTTGTAATTCTCGTTAGTTTATCTTGAGTTTTTCTATTTTCGAGGACTGTTCACGAGGGGCGAAGCGAGCAGCAACTCGCGAAGCGGCGAGCGACTTTGAAATCGAATGGATTTTAATATAGCACAAAGACCGAATGTAAATAGTGTCACAGAAGCGGTCACGACTAAACAAGAGGGTTTTTTTCTCTCTTTTCTCGGTGTTGGCTGTTCCACCAGCCTAAACTTGTGCAAACGCAGTCGAGGAGAGAGCGCGCATGTTAAGAATTTATGTCACCTCCACGTGTACTTTTTCCGGGAATTGACATGAATATCGTTTCATTTCTTGTTTCATGAATTGGGCATCTTGTTGCTCACTCAAATTACATTGTATAATAACTTATTTTTGTTTTGAATTTTGATTTCAGTGTACTTCTGTTGTCCTTGCGGAAGAAGCATCAACTGCACAGTCGAACAGTCTTCAAGTAGATCGAGGCAGACCAAATTATATCGCGAGCCCAGCGACAAAAAAATTATTCAGAACTGAGCGAAAACGTTACTCTGAACCGGACAAAAATAGTACGTTCTGAATCACAGCTCCGGTTTTCGTAACGATAAATTATTCCTCAGCGTGAACTACTAGTGAGAGCTTATGAAAAGCGACTCAGGCCAAGTCATCAAAACAGCGCAGCGCATTGAATGAAAATCACGCAGTTGATTTGACTTGTCTAGGACTCCGGGACATATAAATTGCTATGAAACATTCTTCTAAAGATGAATAAGAGATTCTATCAAATTCAATGGCCATTTTTCTTAAATACCTTTAGGAGTGAAAATAAGAGAAAAAACCCTCTTGTTTAGTCGTGACCGCTTCTGTGACACTATTTACATTCGGACCGTGCCGCGATCTTCATGCTATATTAAAATCCATTTGATTTCAAAGTCGCTCGCCGCTTCGTGAGTTGCTGCTCGCTTCACCCCTCGTGAACAGTCCTCGAAAATAGAAAAAACTCAAGATAAACTAACGAGAACTACAAGCGAATTTTAAAAAGCTTATTACAAATCGGTTCAACTCATTCGATTCAAACAGCGCAATTGTGTAAACAAACAATTTTATTTTTACAGCGACATGCATTTCCAGCATGGCCGGGCTATTCACGTTCTTTCAGAATGAGAAATTATATCGCTGTCGCTATCTGCTAGCGGTATACATGTACTCTTGAAGCCACTCATCGTATGGTTCATGTAAGGACCTTCTGGGTCTGAGTTGTCTGCTGCTGCTTCTAAACTGTTCTAAATAATAAACTCTGCTTCATCGCATTCCACTCAGTTCATCAACAGTCGAAGAAACACTGAATTCTGAGTTTGGGAGCGATTCTGATCGCTCAGAATCGCTCCCAAACTCAAAATCATCCGTATACATAACTTTGTGTAAGTTTTGACGGTTCTAGACAAAATTTGAACTAAAATATATCTGGTTATACACACTACAAGCCCTAAATCTTTGCTTGAAAGTCGAAGAGCGTTCTGGTATTGACGTCACGACCGACTAGGTCCAAGGACTCACGTCGCTCGGTTTTTCGCCTAACCGGAAATGAAATTTCACGTCTTTGGACGGCTAAAACGTGGTGAAGAAAAGCGATATGGAATTTTTTTCTTCGATGTTCATATCAGGATCCTATGTAGATTCGATCAAGCAAATAAAAAAATATCTGTCATATACACTTTAATAAATTATTGATTTTTCATGTACTGTAATCCCCATCGTAACAAGCTGTTGACAGACATGTTACAGTCCTTATGCAATGATAACTAAAGGATTGTCATATCTTTTCAAGTGTAAAGCCTCATTTTTCATCGCGCGATGATTGATTTTATCGTTATATCGGGATAAATTTTACGTTTGGGCTGCCAGATTGTGATCGTTATATTGGGAATATCGTTATATCGAGTATCGTTAAATCTAGAGTTTTCTCATACATTTACTGTAACATTTGCCGGGCTGTCAAATGTTGATCATTTTTCCGGGAACATCGTTATATCGAGTATCGTTATATTGAGGTTCCACTGTAGTTTAATCACCTTTTAATGTCATCCTCAGCCAAATCGGCGTGAACTGAAGCCACGTAAATTCTTGCATATTTCTTTGCTTCCTGTTCAAACTGTTCGATTAGTGGCGCTGCTTGTGGAACATTGCTTGGGCGACCCACCTAAGCCAGGATAACAATACACAATGTTAGCAATCATTACTGTCATAATACAAAGAATTATTGAATTCTGAATGGTTAAGACACAGGGCATTTTTCATTAATTTTGGTTTGCCTGAAGATCGCTCAAGGACTTCCGAAGAGTGCAAAGTTGACCCGAAAACTTCCCATGATTTCCGAAGATGACCCGAACCCTTCCGAAGTATGAAGAAAATCAGGTTTAGAGGATTTTCTTTATCAACAAAATATTCTAAACCTGATTTTCTTCGTACAACTAACAATCGTATACAAATGTGGTTCGTAAGCGTTCTCAGACCTATAATGCCTGTGAGGGTGTTACTAGTAAGTGCTGCGGCCAACACAAAGTAAAGTGTACAGTGTACAGTACATGTATGTACCACTTAGTTTCCTACATACTGAAAAAACGTTCTCATATTGAGAAACCCTGTCAAATGAATGCACTGTGACATGTGCAGTAAATGCAAACCTTTATGTTCCTTCCGCCAAGTAGAACACCGTTCATTTGTTCCAAAGCAAGTTGAGCTGCTTCAGGTAAATCATACTCCACAAAGGCAAAACCCTATTAAGAGAAAAACACAGGTTATAGTACACTCAACTCCCTTACATTGTATAACAGACATCTCTCGACTAAAGTGCTGCCGCTTGTATTCCTGGGTTGGGTGGGTACTGTAACAACTGTACCCTGAGTACGAAGAAAAAATGAAGATATGACCCAACAAATCGAGAATCTGCCTGGAATAGGGGTACTGCCTGCATGTATGTATGTACAGGCTGCAAATAACAGTCGGTCATCGGACAATGGCCGACCAAAATTTGCCAATGTCCGATGAAATCCCAACTGTGGTCGGACACTAATGTCCGGACAATTTTTTTTGCCTTCCAACGCGAACGCTAACGAGTTTTATTTGAAACGCAAACTACATGTAGTTTACTCTGCGATGACAACGCGTTAAATTAGCAGGTTCGCTTATCAAGCAGTACTGTATGATGTCCGACCTCATTTTGTTTTGTCCGACCAAAATGGTGACTTAGTCAGACACATGTCCTTTCAAGAAAAAAAATTATTTCCAGCCCTGCATTGTACAGTCTGTAGAATGTCACATTATCATAAAGAACCCACCTTGTGTTTCATTGTTAGAGGATCCCAGGACAAGTCAATCTTTTTTATTGGGACCAAACGGAATAAATGCCTGTCGAACATGTTCTTCACGTAGCTCAAGTTGATGCTACCAACATAGACCCTGTGAAAATAAAAGATCGATATTTGAAGTTTAACGCAAATAATGCATTTATGTTTCAAAACATTTTTATCAAACATGCTTGACTATGAGAAAAATGTTCATCAGTCAGTGACACCAGCTACTCGGAAATTTTTTTCTGAGTTCTCCCAACAGAAAACTGTCGAACCTGTGACCTTCCGCACACAGGTAGGACGCTCTACCACTGAGCTACAGGAGACTCGTGGGAGCTTAGGCCACAGTGGCTTGTGTCACTGTCTGAAAAACATTTTCTACCAAGCTTAAAATTCACCATAATATAATGATTTCTTTCTACACATACTTTAGTCTAGATAGCAGAACTATCCATGGTTGGAAACAGATATTCATTATTCAGTGATCAATACAAGCTACATTTGTATAGCAGGAAAGTTGGTTAAAAAAAAGTATGTACAAGCCTAAGTGGCTAATCATGTACGTATACCAGGCCAGCACTTAACTCCTGTTTCCATAGCATGAAGAGACTAGGAGTGAGCTACTCGCTTCCCAAAGCAAGAACTAACTATGGAATATTTAATATTAGGTTTCAAGGTGCGAAAGTTTGGGAATTCCCTTGATGAAAGTACTAAACTTCTTTCACCTCCTCAATTTAAAAAGAAATTAAAACTTGATTCATTGATAACTATTAACATCTCTTACTGGACTTGCTTAGAATATTAAATTATAGAATTTTAGCTTTGCTGCTTGCTATCTTAATGTTATTAATGCTATGTGTGTGTATGTGCGTATGTGTGCTAGTGTGTGTATACATGTTTATTTGGTGCTTTCCTGTCTGTCCATTTATTCCTTATCAATACTTAATAAATAACTGGCTGCCTGGCTCGTCTAGCCCCTATGGTTATTCCAGGCAGCCAGTACTCTACTATTATAATAATAAAAAATTGTAAATTGTAATTTTATTTGAGAGAGTACAAAAAATAAAAAAATAAAAATAAAAATAAAATAAAAAAATAAAAAAGTATCACTACTCTCCTAGATGGGATGCTAGTCCATCTCAGGTAACCCCTCAGTATTTTGGTCAGGTTGCCCAGACAATTCGCTGGTACCCATTTATACTTCTGGGTGGAGAGAGGCGCCAAGTGCGAGACTAAAGTGCCTTGCCCAATAACATAATATACATAGCGGTGAACCCGGACAGCACTTGCACCCAGACTGCTCGATCAGGAGTCCGAGGCAGCTAACCATTAGCTCACTGCATCTTCCACAACAGGAACATCGGTGCAGTTGTAAATAAATTGCCTCGTACCTGCACATGAGAGCTAAAGCTCTCTGTCGCTGAGCAGCTGTCTGCAGTGCGGACATCTGTTGCTGCTGAAGAGCTTGTTGTTTTGCCAACACCTGCAAACCAAATCAAATATTTATATTGCCATAGCAACACAGCACTGCTTTGCCCCATACACGCTTACGCCCTAAGCATGAAAGCGAGGCCTAAGGGCCACAAGATTTCCCTTAAACTTTAAAGGATTAGAAACATAGCTGAAGAAACAACATCTAGCGACTTAGAGGTTGTAAAATTAACCCCGGAAGTTGTTATTGAAGAACGTCATTGGCCTTTTCATCAAGAATTTAGGAAAATCCAGTTGTTTACATTTCAGCCAAAACTTTGGTTTTATTTTCTATAAATGCTCCAGGAATATCTTCCGTGGTTAATTTTACAACCTCTAAATCACTCGATATTGTTTCTTCAGCCATATTTCTACTCTTTTAAAGTTCGCAGGGAATCTTGTGGCCCTTAGGCTTGCTTTCATGCTTAGGGCTTAAGTGTGTATCCACCTTCTGATAATAATAATAATGTTTATACATGTACATGTACCTATGTAGTCAATGATATATCTTTCTAAAGAAAAAATTTTATACACATGTGATGTACTTGCCCATGGGCTTATATTTAGGGGGCTTATTATCAGAACTACTTGTACAATGTATACGGTATAGTAATTAAAAGAAATGCAATAATTTATGCAATGATGGGGAATATATTTTAACCCTAAACACTCCCAGAGTCAAATCATGAGTCAATAAATGTGGTTGTTATGTAACGTTTCAGGCTATGGATGAAACCCTCAGCTAGTGTGTGACCATTCAAATGAAAGTTATTGAGCAGTAAATTCAAGTGGTACTGTTTGCTTTTGACCACAATTTGCAAAATGAAATTCAAGATTTTCCCCTCAGTTTTGAACTTACATAATACTAACTCTTGGGAGTGAAAAGGGTTAATATTGTGAAGTTGGCTAACCTGTTGCACTGACTGTTCCATAGCAAATCTCTTGGCTTTCTTAAGCATCTCTTCCTGCTGAAAGCTGAGAGGAGGCAAAGCTCTCTTCACTTCTGAGGAGCGTGGCTGCATGCCGCCGGCACCAGGTCCAACAACGAGCTCTCCCTTAGACCCATCATCGACAGGTTGGTCTTCTGCGTCACCATTGGCTGCGGCACCAGATACCGGCGAATCTATTGGATAATAAACTTTTTTAATTGCACTGTACGTAGATGATCTGTCAACTGAAGGTGTTTTTTGTTTAGCTGTGATTAAACCGATCAGTTTTAAGGAACCTCTGTTTTAATTCTAAATGTTTTAGTCCCTGCTTGAGGATAATAAACAATACTTGCATTTTGACAGCTTTTCAAACAAAATGTCAGCCAAAAGATACTTTTGAATTCAAAGTACAATGATTTATGATTATCAATTTGTCTAAACCCTAGATCTTTAGACACCAAAAGTACAATTATTTGCGCAATGTATGTTTTATAAAAAATAAAAGATGATCTTTACAAAGTTTGAGGTAGTTCTGTTAAGATACATGATGTACTGTATTATGGTTAAAACGTCTCCTGGTCAAAGTAATATTTGTAGAATCGAAACACAAGAAGAACATGGTATATTTTTATTAAAGGTACAAATTACTTTAAACCAGTACAGAGTTGTTTTACCACCAACGATCAAGTCACGATGTTATCCTGGCATCAAGCCAAAGCTGTGGGACTAACTTGATTTGAATGCAAAAGACAAAAAACAGAGAAAGAGAAAAAAAGAGAGAAAGGAAAGAGAAACACGTTATCATACATCTACCATTGTATCAATACTATCAACCGGGATCAAACAGCAGTCAGTTTTTATTACTAATTTACTCTTACAGTACTGGTAGTGCAGACAATCGCGGGTGAGTGTAATAAATTAAAACTGGCATAATTAGAGAAGGCTGTGAAATATATAGCCACAATGGTTATAAATAAATTATTGAAAAATATCAGCTTGCTCAACAACAACATAAATTAATATACTGTAGAAGCAGCTGGAAAATAATCAAGATTGATAAACAAGAGAGTGTATTTTAATTTACTGTTGAACAACTTTAGGCTTGTGGTGCGAGAAGAAAGTTTTAAGAAAATTGACCCATAGCCAGCTACTGTATAGTATGACTGGACTTTTCTTTGCAGTTTTAACAAGAAAAATAATGACGTTGTTTTTTACTTCAAAAAAATATAGTCATGTCGCACAAGATGGCAAAAAACAGAAAAATAATGAAGTTGAGATGCAGTACACTAAAAAAAAAAAACAAGAAATAAGAAATCTCTTTTTGATCCAAAAGTGTAGCATTTTTGTGCGGCTCCAATTATAGCTTTTTCATCATTTGCAAAGACCAACCAACCTTCTTCAGGGCCAACATCAAAGCCTCGCTTCCGTCTTCTTTTCTGGTTGCCATCACTCTCACTGTTTACCTTTTCTTCAGATGTTGTGTTGATCTGTAAAGTACATTGTAAAGAGAAGAGTGATGAGCATAATTTATATATATGGGTTATTGGCCAAGCGTGAGGTCAAGATGGCGGGATATTGGCCAGGTTTTTTTCTTGCGTGTTTATGCACCGAGACGAAGTCGAGGTCCATAAACACGCAAAAAAAAGAACGAGGCCAATATCCCGCCATCTTGACCGAACAAGCTTGGTCAATAAAGGATTTATTATATGACTAGAAGGACGCGGGAAAATAGTTTTCTTGCGGGAACAGAGCAGGCAATCCCGAGCAGTCGAGATGGCTCCATCTTGACCGCGCGGGTAGCCATCACAGCACAGGATTTTCTTCATCTTGCCCGCTCATGGAGCCAGCCATATAATAAACTAGAATATCAATGAGTGAAAAAACTCAAACTGTCAAGGGAAACACAAAACTGTTTGAGGTAAATTCTGCAACTTTCAATAACAAGCAAATTCTGCTCAATCAATGAAATTTTGCATATTTCAATCATCTTAGCGGTCACTTCAGGAAACAGGAGTTCTCTTCACAAAAGGTTACGTCTGTAGGTATATGTTGTGATTGGTAAACTTCAAGTCATTTTGTTTGTTTCCAGGGTTCATTGCTTGTTGCCGTAATATTATTAACTTATGAGTGAAAACGCAACTGTTAGTTGGGTTTGAACTTCGGAGTTTCGTGCTATTGAAAGGCGCAGACAATTATGGAAGTTTGAATTATACATGTATCAGGGTTACAGTGAAGATGACGCTACCGTTGCCACTCAACAAAGTTTTTGATAAATTGTTTACATCTTTTTGACAACTTTTTGACGATTTTCGGATGGGTTCCATTTGACTTGACCAATCAAAATCCAAGGAGTGTTGGAGGCGGAGTCGTGAAATTTGAATGGTTTTAGTTTCTAGTCAAGTTCAAATGTGGCGCCACAAAAACGGAACCCATCAAAGTTGTCAAAAAGATGTCACAAATTAATCAAAAACTTTGTCGAGTGGCAACGGTAGTGTCATCTTCACTGTAAATTATAACAGCTAGTGATAGTTTTGAGTTATTGAGATGCTACAGGTGAGCCAAGAGGCTCAACAGGTTTGGTGTTTAACTCTGAATAAGAATGGTGGCTATTGTTTCACACCTTGTTCTACAAATGAGCTTACATGTAGTTCTGACACATGCTACATCATTGGTATGTTCGTGTATATGAATTATTTGCAGCCTTTTCTTTGTAAATAAGTTATTTTGGCCCAGCCATAAGCTCTTAAGCCCGGGCCAAACGAGGAAGAGAGTTGATGAGAGTTGAAACTCTTGCTCTTGTTTGGCCTGAACTCACATGCGCTCTCATCGACTCTCGTGTGCTCTCATCGAATTTGAACCTGCTCAAATTTTTCATGAGAGCTGTCAAGAGTTTTCTGGTTTGGCCCATGCTTCATGATAGTCGATGA